TATTTAGTAAATAAGCGGAAATAGAAATGTAAAAGCAACATTTAGCGTAAACAGTGAAAAGTTCACGTCTCGCTCTCTAGTCATTAATGAATATTTACACAAACATTTATTTGCGAACAAGAATATGTATTAAATAGGTCATAGAAACGTCGTAAAAGTACTATATTCAGTGTGTACTTCAGTGTTTAGAAATCATCGTACTTAGCTAAATAGTATAATTTTAATTTGCTCTTTTTTAAATTTTTTTAAATTATATATCATCTATGTATTAAGTAGCATTTACCTATTTAATTTCAATCAATGTGCGTGCGTTAGGCACAAAACAAAAAAAAAAAAAAAAAAACGAGTAGCGTCAACGGCGGCAAAGCCAACCAGCGATTAGCGAATACGAACAACGCAGTGCAACTGTAGCTGATTTTATACATTTTAAGTCAACGAAATTAGATATAGAACTTATTAATCTTAGCATTAGGATGTAATTTTAACTAAATTGGACAGTAACAGAGTGGGAAAGCTTACCAACAGTGACTGGAAAGAAGCAAGTGAATAGAGCTAGTTTGATTCAATTCAACATGGAACTGAATTTGTGAAAAAATGTGGTAAAGCATGTGCGATCCACTAGATATTAATTAATTGAAAAATATTCAAAATATTTTCTATTGATGGCGTCCTAAAAATCGCTTGGCTAAATTTCGCTGGCCAAAAATCTCTAACAGCTTCGGCCTTGTCGCGAATTTCACGCGAACAAATATCACCAAAAAATATAAAGAAAAACAAAAATATTTTTTTATCAATTTGCTTTCGTTTTCCCCGTTTAATTATGGGACGGATTTATTTACGTGTAATTGGCGATAAGGCTGAATAAGTAATGTGTCTAAAAATGTGCAAATCATTGCGAGAAAAATAACCTCTGCTACCTTTTAGGTAAAGCTCTAGTTAATTTAGAGGCTTTTGGGGCTCAAAATTTGGCGATTTCTGAAATATCACGAGAGAACTCCCTTTTGAAATCACTGTTGATACCAGTCACTGAAAGTAAAATTTTTATTCTGTTACTGTCCATATCTACATGTAATAGAAATAATCTAGCATTACTATACTTATATGTTTATTATGAATCAATTAATTATACTTGTGTACTCCATAGTTAGATACTCGTACATGTCTGTACGTACATATATACTCGTACATACTTACATGTAAACATAACAATGTATTCAAAATAGCATAGCTTATATGGACAAATTAACATTTAGATCACTAACACTAACACTTTTGAAAAATCTAAATTTTTTTATCACTTGAATTTTATACCATTCAAATGTTTGGAAACTTAGTCTTCAAAATATCATGGACCGAGAACGCGTTCTAGTTTTGGTTTAGTTCAGCATGAGAACAAAATGTAATGCCAAGAACGTTGCCACAAAAGAACCCAACGGGAACAAAATTGCTGAGATCAGTTTGAACGGGGACAAAATGAGAACAAAAGGTTTTGGAATGTTGTCATAAAGAACAAAATGCGAAAAAAGAACTCTCGAGAACGTTCTCAAGAAGAACAGAACGAAAATTTCGGGAGAGTTTCTAATGGGAACAAGAAAACCAAGCGAGAACAAAAGTTTTGAGAAATTAATCTTGAGAATGAGAGGGGAGTCTGCGTGTTGATATTAAAAATGGTTTCAGTGAGAACCACGGTATTTTTCTCACTCTCTCAGTTGGACAAAGTGGGAAAGGAACGCACAAAATTACTAACAAAAAGTGTCCGGACACGAACGGTGAATCCGCCTTTATACTTTTGTTCCCGTTTAGTTCTTTTCCAAAAAGTTCCGGAGACTTTTTTCCCATTTTGGTCTCTTAGAAATGTTCCACAGGGTTTTTGTTCTTATATAATTTCCATTGAGAACAACACTACGAGAGCGACATTTAGTTTCGATCACACCTTTTGTTCTCGGTAGCTGCAAAATATTTACATAAATACTTAGACGTCTATTAGAAAACAACAACAACAATATTTAGCCTTAATATTCCAAATTTGCTTCTATTTTCAAGGCAAAATATCACTAGAACAATTTATGAAAGTTCAGCTCTATAAGATAGCTTCGCCATACTTGCAAGTTCTTTATTCTAAAGCTCATAGGAAATACGACAGAATTCGTATTACCCCTAAATTGTGTGCTGGTAAACTATCGTAGTGAGATTTTTAAAAAAGCAAGCAAAAAGTTCACGACTTCTTTTATCCTTCCTCAAATTTAGTTTCACTACAAACGACACTGAAGATTGCATAACTGCTGTATCGGTTAGTCTCCATACCGAGATAAGCAAGTGATTACGGAAATTCCAAATTAAATCACGGTCTTCCCCTAATGGAAAAACCAATAACAATGAAGATGGCATCACTTCACATAATCGCGGCGATCCTTTTGTTCCAGCTCACTTTGAATTTTCTGATTCGAAAAAAGTGTATTTTTTTCTCTAGACTTTTTCCAAAAACTAACGGCATCTACACACTTACATTCATAGCGTCAAATAAGACAACCAATTTCTAAAATTTTTTAATGAAATAGCATACTAGCTAGTCCAGAAAACTTAAATTACACAAAAAAAAATGTTAGTCCGTTTTTTTTATTCCATTAACGAATTTAGTAATAGTGTCAATATTTGTTAAGATAATTTTTTATAATATTTTTTTCTTACTTTTAGAATCAATGTAACTTGTATACTCAACATACGTTATAAAGAAACATTTTATTCATACATATATAATTACTGACAATCCGAAAAACTATTAGAGTTTTTCAAAAAATGTGATTGACGTAAGATAACTAAATCCTTTTGATATCGAATTTTCTTTCTTTTCTATTCCCTTACCTCAACACAGATAACATCATGTGGGGACTGGGGACATTACCCGATGGTAAGTAGTAAAAATAAATATTAAAAAAAAACACTGCGCAATGTCATTGCTTTCATTTAAAAAACGCTTAAATTTATTCAATCGGCTTATATTGAGTGCCTTCTATCTTTAATTTTCAAAAAAAATAATGTCTTGCTGATATTAAAACTCATTAAAAACTGTAGAATATCCAACGACCTGCATTCCTATCTGTAAGAAGAGCACTACACCCATTAAATGTATGCTGTCCCTACTCAACTTACACCGCTTCATGTGGCAATACAAGAGGAATTAGAAATGCAAGCCCTTATGCCACATGCGAAAAGTAAATTTAAACAAGACAACCTTTCGGTCACCTTAAAATTCTAAATTCCTCAGCTTTTCAAGGGTCATAAAATCACATTTTCTACTCGTGAATATTGGAGCAGTAATCCAACAGGGCTGTAGGACGATTCAAAAATCAAGGTATACCGAAGGTTCCAAAACACCTTACGGTGCAGGTGCGGGTACTGTAGGGCCGCACATATTTTCCTTTCAGCGAAGACGTAAGAATATTCTAGGCGGAACTACTTACCAAACTTGAGACTGGCCACGTTTTATTAAAAGTGCAATGTGCATAAAAAAAACTCCATATTTTCGGACAGCCAATGTGTTCTCATAGCTCTATGTATACTCTTCAAAAGCTCTTCCATCGTTCCACCGAACACTAATCTGGGTACCAGGCATTGTGAACTAAAAAATGGGTAGACACCCCTTTGGTTAGACGCAGCCTATTCCTTGGAGTCAACAACATGCCAAAAAGGATTTCAACAAGTCGAAAATATGCTGCACTGCTAGCAAAGGGAACAATCAAGAAGATCATTTCTTGTGACAAAAGAGCTCAATCTATGCTCATGCTTAGTGAAGAAACTTAAAACTTTTTGGAGCACTAACGGGCCACAAAGCTTTAAAAAAAACAAGTGCTTACGCTGGCCTTTGCAGTACAGACATTTTCTGAATTTGTGATAAAGAGGAGGAATCAATGGAACACCTTATTACGACCTGTCCAACACCAACTCATCATAGAGCCAGATTTCTAAACTACTACAGTCTTAGCGAAGTCAGCCTAATGCACATTTCGCAACATGGGCTTGTACGATTCCTGAGCATATTACACAACTGCTTACATAACCTTTTTGGTTGTTGTTGTTTCCGACAGGGTGGGTGTATGATGTATTTTGGAACGAATTTCCGTCATCCCTTTTCAAATTTGGTTTGGAGACAAACTGGTTTCGGCGTTGTGCCATCCTCAGTGTCATTTTGCGTTCCGGATAATTTTTGTTGGTTACTCGTATTTATACTCCTTATTAACTACCTCTTTCTTTTGTTAGGTACGTCTTCTTAGTTTTGAAGTATTTACGGTGCTCAATAGGTAGATGAATTGTTCTTGCTTGTTTTTGCTGGCAGGTAGAAGTCAGTGATTTTTACCTTCTTTGCATTTGTAGTTAGTATATTCCCTTCCATGTCTATCCTTAATATTTTGTTGTTGTCATTTTTCTTCTCGTACAGTAGTTTTCGAGATTCAAACAGTACGTCCGATACAGTATTTATTTGCTAATTTATTATTTGTCCTTTGAAGATCTTCTGTTTACATATTTCCATATTTTTTCACATATTCAATCTTTGTCCTCCATGTTGTACACGGAGAAGTTCTGTTGTTTGTCCAATCTTCATTGGTGCGCACTTATTTTTGATCATTTTGTTTGCGATGTTCGATTCTGTTGTAGACTCTGGTTTTCGTTTTTTTCTTATTATAATCCCTTGTGTGTTCTCGATACCTTGTACCCATATTTCGTCCTGTTTGTCCTATGTACCTGTATCGGCACTCGCAGATTAACTTGTAAACGCCCTGTTTTTCTAGCGGGTATTCCACGCTTATTTTCTCTTTCAATATTCTTCCCACAGTGGTCCTTGCCGTACTTATGAAGGAATTCGGCAAGTCTATACGATGTCTTTCCCGTGTAAGTTTTCCTCTTTGCTTGTCGTTTTCGATTTTGTGTCCTTTCTTAACTTTTCAACCAGGCCTCTCTTATATCCGTTATTTTGCGAAATGGCATATATTGTATCCAGTTTATTCTTGTAGTCTTCTTCTGTTAGAGGGGCCCTTTCAAGCCTCGTTATTGGTTGTCTAAATGCTGCATTTTTGTATTGCTCTGGATGGTTCGGGCTGTTGTGTATTATTGTATCTGTGGCTTTGGTTTTCTGTATATTCCGAACTCTACCTTGTTCGTGGTACTGTTTATTTTAATTGTTAAACCAGATAGTTAATCTTTCTTTCCTCTTCCGTTTCCATAGTGAATTTTATATTCTGGTGTTGTTTGTCGAGTATCTGCTTCTCTTTATTTCTCTCTATTAGACATATTACATCATCGACATATCTCGCGTAGAATTTTACTCCTAGGATGGTCGATAGGTTTTCCATATATTTCCCCCCTGGTGTGTGTATGAATACTTCCATGAGTATTGCTGACGTCGGATTGCCCATTCCTAACCCGTTCGTCTGTTTATATATCTTATTATTGAACCGGAAGTAGTTCTGTTTTATTGTAACCTTCAATGCGTTTACTATTTCCGTAGCAGCTTCTCTTTTCATTTTTTCAATGAGTATTTATTGTACGGTCTTCATGGTTTCTATTATTGGTATCGATCGGTAAAGGTCCTTCATGTGGAATGATACGAATTTAGTGTTTTTGTTGATCTTCAACGAACTAATCTAGAAGATGAAATCGCCGTAGTAGTCGCAGGAGGCAAAGTCCAAGCTGTACAAGAATTTTTAGTCTCACCACATACTCAGCAAGAGCTTGGTTATACCGGGCCTTGCATGAAAACGGGAATCTTCTCCGCTTCTGATCGATATTTACGTCTATTCCTAAGTCAAGAAATAAAACGAATACATGTTTTTCATTCAATTTTCACTTTCATCTACCGCTTCACTTAGCACTCATCTCCAGTAATGGAAAAGAAGTAGATACAATTGTACTTTTAGTACCTTTCATGAACTTTGATCCGATGTTTGTAAGCATCAGAAGATGAAGACATAAACCCATAAAACAAAGTATAGCAAAATGATGAGAACGTCGCGGTAAGTCGATTTAGCTATGTCTGGCTGTCTGTCTGTCCATCTGTCTGTGTTAACGCAAACTATTCCCTCAGTTTTGGAGATATTCGACTGAATTTTAGTAAGCTGGTGCCTTTTTATAATCTATTATTCATTTGTCGGAACTGGCATAATTGAACCTCTATAACATATATGTAGCTCCCATATTTATAACAGATTGTTGAGATTTTGCTTTATAACCCCTTGATTTATGCTGCTGGAAAAATAAAATTACGCGCTATTTTCACTTATCAACCGAGAGTTTACGGTAAAAATGACAAAGATCGCGTAACTAAACCCTATAGTCCCATTCAACTGATTGTTCAGATATGAAGTTTTACTTGAAAAATCCGTCCTTAAGACAGCTAAAACCGAGAAATTTCGTGAGCTATTTACTAACACTGGCACACACAAAAAAGTGGGGAGTGCTTTTAACCGGACACACCTACCGACATGTCTTTCGACCCGCTGAATCCGCTTCCGAGGTCCATTTTACTCGTACACCCTCAAAACTTCGAGTAAATTGTCCCACAATTTTCGCCCCAAACTCGATATTTAGGAGGTATACGAGTCAAACGGACATCAGATTCTGATTCAGTGGGTCGAAACAATACACGAATACAAAATTATGTAACAATTTTTGGATACAACTGTAAAGTTGAAAACGAAATTTCGACTACACATTTCAACCTCATCTCAACCCCCCAAGAGGAAAGTATTGAATATCGAGTATTTTTATTTCGAATTTACTTGAGCAAATTTATTCAAAAAATATAAATTAGAAAATTCAATACAACTCAAAGCAGTAGAATTGATGGAAAATTTTTAAAGCTGAATTTGCAAAACTAAAGGGGCTTGAGGACATCTTTCGTAGCGAAACTAATTTTTGTGTAAAGAGCAAGTAAAAGTAATTTCATGCATACATTTACTAACGTACTTTTACATAAATATTTACATACATACATATGTATATGGAAGGCAATGTAATTAAAGTCATACTTGGATTCAAATGTGCATACAGAAGTAACATTTTATGCATGTGTGTATGTATATATAAATATTTGCATGTGAGTAAGTATGCACATTAAACGAAGGATATCAAGCCTTGTAAGAACATTAAAACGGACCTAAGTAGAGAAGAGAGTATAAATCTAGACCATTAATGCTATGAAGTCAGTACACATATCTAATTACCAATGTCCCAACATTTTATAGGGACTGAAAATTTCATAATATAGAGGAAAGAAAAAAGTTGTGTTTTATTTGATAAAACCGTAATTGAATGAGAGAAAAAAATTTTCTAAATTAGGGAACAAATCGTAAAAGAAAGAAAATTGTAGCTGATTTTAGTAAAGAATGCGTATTAAATAAAGGTACATAACATCCTGAAATTTAAAATAGGGTTTTCACATAAACAAAAACTTGTATTTACTCTGACAAGAATATTTGTACGGAGGCAAATTTCATACATGATGCAGCTTTTAATAAAAACGGTTGTTTAATAGTTCGGTGTCTTAAGTTTACATAAAATAAATTTTGACATAAATTTTAGTTCTTTTAAAAGTGGAAATATAAAATTGACGCCGAATTGAATTCTCATCATGATGATCTTTCTGTGGTTAATTTTTAAATAACCATACATTTGTATCAAATTTTTTATTAATATAGTTTTAAGTAAGCAAAAAATTTAGTCCATATTTTACTTTCAAGCATGCCTACATTCACTGGCAATCAAAATTGGGTGAACGGTGATTTTTTGTTCATTCATTTTTTTATAAAAACATTTTTTTTGCTATTACCATAACCATGTTAATGAAAGTTTCAAATTGTATACAAAATTTAACAACAAGTTTTCATCATAAATTAAATTTTTTAATCTGAATTATTAGAAAATTATTGGGTATACAGTGCTGTAGCCCACGAAATTTTAATATACGAAGGTGCTTATGTGAAGCACCCCTGAGTCTTTTTTGCTGCCGCACAGTGCGTAATTTGAACGATTTAGGGAAGAAAAATCCTAGCGGCCACAATTTCGACTCTACAAATTTTTATTTTTGCATTATGTACTTCTAATATCTAGGCTGTATAATAATGGTATCAAAGCATGTACATGATTTTATGTGAGAATTTATAAATAAATTTTATATGAGAATTTCCAGGATAAGGTCTATATAGTCAAAAATTAGAAGTGATGTATGTAGGTACCGCTGTGGTCGAGATATTTTGATAACCCGTATTTACGCACCGATTTCGTTTATGCGACATGTATTAGATACAAAGTAAGACATAATTATATATAAAAAATGGGTCGACGCTTTAGTCGATATATTAATTGATATCACTCGATTTCTAATATTTTCACTATTTTTTCGGTAAGTGTTTCATCCTTCACTCCCACAACAAAGCCGCCATTTAGCTAAGTATGTTTGGAAAAGTTCTCTTTTTAAAATATGTTCTACAGCCATGCTTAAAACTGTGTAAAATCCCAATGAATAAATTTTTTTCACCAAAAATACACAAAAAAGCCAACAATATTTTCATAAAAAATTTACCAAAAAATGTAATGTAAGTTCAGCACGTTTTATAACAGCAATTGAGTAAGTGTAGGCGTATGTCTAATATTATCCCTGTCATTAAACAATAGCAACATTTTGATTACGTGTTCAGGAAATGCACAAAAGTTTCCAACTTGTCTTGCTTTCTATCGTTCGACCTTCATACATTTGAGTAGCCATTATACCCGGCAGCAAATTTTGGAGACAGTCTGGCAAAGCGTTTATTCAACAATTCACTCTTTGTGACTGTCTCCGAACTATTGTAATGCAAATGCACAGCGGGAGAGTTGATTAACGCGTTGTGCAAGCCGAATGCATGGGTGTTAAAGGTAAATATTAGGGTGATTGACTCGGGTTTTCCAAACCGGTTTCCGACGATTTTTTTGATATCTTCAGGCGTTTTTTTTTTTGAAATCTTCATTTTTCGAATATCGAATAAACCGGCTTTCTTATCAAATAAACCGGGGGTTTCATCGGATGTATTTAGTACACGCGACTAGTGAATGAAATTCACTACAAATTTATTTTACTTTTTTCCAAAGGGAACTAGAAAATATATGTATGTATATGAAGCATTATTTTTCCTATCAGACCCCAAATTTAGTGTCACACTTTCGATTGGCTTTGCAATTTTTTTATGAGTTCAATACATGAAATAAGCTCAAGAATGATAGAATACAAGATTGCGCCGATCAGAGAGGATTTTTGAGAATAACTTTTGTGTGACGTCACACTGGTGCAATTGCGAGAGAGAAATGCCAAAACGTGAGCAAGAATGGAAGAAGAAGAAAAAATGTTGCAAGCAAAACGTAAACAAGTTCCACAAGTGTGACGTCATGCAAACAGCGATTCTGTCAAATTCGTTAAGAGAGGAATAGCGGTCCGAGATCGGCGCAACCTTTGTATTCTCTCAATCGTGAAATAACCTAACACGTATTCGAGGTTTTTTTTCGTGCACTTCTTCAAATCATTATATCTCGCATTCTGCTCATCATAGATACTTCATTCTAACACCGTTTTAAAGCTAAAGAAACATAAGCTGAATTTATTAAAGCTGATTTACATAGTGAAGACCATAAAATTAGGGATTTAAAATCGCACCATCGTAAGCCTAAAAAGATGGGGTTTTTTCATGAACTATTTTTAAAATATTTTTTATGACGACATGCTTTATTTTTGAGAGTGAACAATGTTTTTATGTATTATGTAACAACAACGTGAGTATTATATATACAAAATTATATTGTTTTTTACAGCCACAGCTACTTCCTATACTTCATGTTATTGCCCATTTAATGCCTCCGGAAAATTTCCGCCGGAGCTTCAATTTAAAAGTGTACAAAAAAATGAAAAATTGTAGTATATAAATGTTTTTCGCTTACATATTTTGCTAAGTGTTTCGCCAAGCTTTCCTAATTTGTTTCTGTGTATTTAGTTGTAATGCAAACAGTTTTTAAACTTTACACTTTTAGGTTTGCCTTTGTGGCTGCTGGTAAAGTCTAAAATTACGGCGGCAAGAGCACTTGTTTACTCCGAAAAAAAAACAGCAAAAATGCAATAAAATTATTAGAAAAAAAGTTCAAATAAGACCGAACGTGAATTTTTCACATATACATACTTATAAAATAAAACCGGTTTATTCTGTTTTTTCTTGTTTCAAAAATTGGGAGCAAGTTTTTTCAAATTGCCATATTTCGAATAGCTTGACACCCGGTCTTGAAAAACGGCGAATTATCAAACACCCTAATATGGTACACATGTATTGCGACTGCGAAAGCTGAGAAGTGCATCGGCGTAGCCAGAATGAAGTTTAGGGGCATTTCAGTGTACTACTTTATATATATATAAGGAAAATTTGAAAGTTAGGGGGGAGGGCTCGAGCACCTCCCTGCCCCTACCTGGCTACGCCCATGGAGAAGTGAGTTATGACATAGGAAAGGGAAAAAGACTACCGCTTCTACTCGTTGCATCGTAGGTTTGGAATTCAAATCGCTTTGGAGGATGATTTTGTGAATGATTCATTCTACATATAACAACCCGATGTCTGTGCATTATAGATATTAAAGAAAAATTAATATGGGGGTCTTTATTAGAACAACAGAAGCCAAATCAACAATTTTTAAAATTTGTGTCTGTCTATTTGTTTGTACGCGCATCACTCGAAAACTAATGCATGGAATTGAATGCAACTTTCACCTATGCGTTTTTGAAAATTGCAGTTTAAGAAAATTTAAAAGATAAAATCAATATATCAATATGACCTAAAAAAAAAGAACTTTAAGGAGGCTTACTTTGATTTAATTAACAACCTAAATTAAATATTGTAATATGGGTATCAAACTAAAAAACTTCAGGAAAGTCTATTGCCAAATATATTTTTAGGAGGGTTGCCAGCTGTTTGCAAAATGGCATTCACTTATTAAATTGATAAAAAAAAAGAAATATTACAATTCGGGTTTCAAACTATCAAGAGGTTTAAGAAAGTTTACTGTCGAAAATATTTTTTCTGCGGGTTTACATCTATTTAAAAGTGTATTTGATTAAAGTAATAAGATAAGGTAAATAATTAATTAATACACTTTTGAAGAAAGAGCACGATACCTATTTATTTTTTTTGGAATGAAGCCATAACAGTTTTGGAAGGGAGTAAGAACACAAAAATACTTTTAAGGCGTTAAGGTGTTAAATAAAATAAAAAATAGGTCAATTCATCTAAACGCGTAAATGCCTTGTTAACACGCAACCATGTAAACTTACTTAATTTTGTTTTGGAAACCGATTTATTTACGAGGTTTATACCGTTACGAGGCATTTAAGCGTTTAGATGAATACCCATAATGTATATTTTCCTTTGAATAAAATAATTTTTCGAAGAATCGAACCTGGCTGCTCTGGAATTATTCACCAGTGCTATACGAATACGACAAGAATGCCTGCTTAATTTAAAACTTATCATAAGGGGGGTTCACAAGGCTTGTTAAGCATCGTAATATCTTAAGTCTTGAAATTTTTATATGCAAAATAACTGGCATCGTGTTTTGGATTCGGTCGAAATCGATTACAGCGCCAATAAAGAAGAAGGAGAAAATAACGGTGAAAATGGTTTTAAAGGATTTCTAACTACATCGAAATATTTTTGAACACAGCGAATTTCCTAAAGCCTTTATAACCTATTATTTACGTAGAACAATTTGAAGACTTAAGATATTGTGAATCACCAATTAAATATACGTGTTAAAAGAGGCAGTTGAATATATTGGCTTCTAGCTATAGTCAAAGCAAAGTCGACTCTAAATTTAAAAGCAGCTTTTTGAAAGTTACGTTTTAGATGGGGTATCTGTAAAAAAAAAAACCATTGATTTCGGTTAGTTCGCGAACTAGTATCGCTCCCCCTGCTTTACTTTACAACTAGTTGGATTTGTAGCGTGACATACATGTGCATGCATACACTAGCACATACATACATACATATATACATATGTAATTGGTATGCATCGTCTGCATAATAAATACTTACATATGTACTTGGCAAAACGGACAGTTATATAAGAGATTGGCATGGGAGAATTGTTAATTTCTCATGCAATTAATTATTCTAAATGCAAGCAATGCAAATCACAAGTGCCTGCCAACGCAAACCGGAAGAAATTCCCCCAAAACCTTTCATTTCCAACTTATGACATGATGGTTGCTCGCTTCATGGCCACAATGCCACTTCAGAGGCACGTACGAATGTAAGTATGTATGTAGATTAATTTACACACATGCATACATGCATAAATGTAGTATGCAGTAACCGCAGCACATTGCAATTTGTGCTCAGTAAAACCACAAGCATCTTGGTAAGGCAGCCTTTGAAAATCTTGCTGATAATTCAATTGCTTGCATAAACTTTGATTGCGCCTTGCACAATATTTTTACGCTTCATTTTTGTTGAATAATAACCACTTCATCTCATATTCATTTTTCATTCGACTCGAATATTTGCTTTCTTTCTAATGGTTTATTTTTTTCATTTCTGACAGGATTTCCGGCAGCCGCCTATGCAGCCTATGCAGCCGGACGTGGTTACTCTGGATATCCAAGCTTCGGTTTGCCTTACCCTGCTGGTGAGTATGGAAACTGAGTTCTACAAATTCCCGATATACATACACATATACATACAAACACGTTCTATACATTCACGAACTTTTGGCAACTACTAAATAAATACTGCTTAATATATCTACATACATACATACACACATACGTGCAGGCGCACACATTCACTTATATACTTGAACTTACATATTTATACATAAGTGCAAATATTTATTCTCTCGACTACCATACTTAATAATAACTTCAATACACTACTCAAACCATAGCCTCACTTCCGGTTTCCCTTTACACTGCACAACCATAACTATTGTTCCTTACAAAAATACTATATACATACATGTATTGGTATCCTTCTTCACACATGTGAACACATAAGTATGTAAGTACTTCTTTTTCCAAAGCAGGTTTGGCTTTGTTTTTATTTTAAAATGTTTTGTTCTATCTCAATGCTGGCCACCCATAATGCCTAGCAACTGAAAAAACAAAGGAGAATATATTTAATACAAATGAAAAATGTACAATTACACTAATACTTACATAGGTATGTTAAAGGTGAATTTTATGAATGCAAAACATTACCAGTATGCTTCTGTGCGTCCACGCTGTTATCTGGTGTATTTTACATCAGGATGTCTCACCAATATGTGGAAAATTAAAGGGGCAATTCTGGCTAAAATAGCAAAAAGTCTTTCGTAAGACAAATTAAAGACAGATGGCCAAATGCTTCGAAAGACTTTTGTTATCGTAGCACAAAAGTCTTAGAAAAAAGCTCTCTCATTCACCGCTCTTGGTGAAATTTTATTTTGAGAGATAGCACTTGTCTTCGGGCAGCAGATTTTTTTTTTCTTTTTTAGTTTCTAAATTCTTAATTTTTTCAATATTTTTTTCTATTTTTAGTTTAATTTTCTTTTAGATTTTATTTAAAAAAGAAAAATGTTTTTTAATTTTATGAACCTGCATTACTTTTCTTCTTATTTTATTTAATTGTCTTTCTTTGGTTAGTTTCATTTTCTTCTAATTTTTTTTTATTTTACTGCTTTAAAAAGGAAAATATATTTATTTTATTTTATTTAGTTTTTAAGATCTTGTTTAATTTTTTATCGGTGTCTTTTCTTTAATTCTTTTTTATTATAAGTTCTTTTTGATTAAATTTTTTTCTTTTTCCATTTTACTTTTTAGTTTTTATTGTTTTGAAAAAAATATTTTTTTAACATAATTTAATTTGTAAACATATATTTTTTTTTTGCTTTATTTCGTTTTATTTTATTTCTCTTTTTTAATTAAATCTTCTTTTATTTATTAGTTGTTATTGTTTTAAAAAGATACATATAAATTTTTGTAATTTAATTTTGGTTTTTAAAAAGTTATGGCTAAAAGACGAACGGCATAACGCAAAAACCTTCCAGTTGGCGCATATTTTTTATGAGTCTTTGGAAAGACAGTAAAGAGCTTTTCCAGAACTGACCTGTTAATCAAAATCATTTGAACCTTGAATTGTAGCTACCCCCCTTGCTAGCTATTGACTCCTCGACCTTCTATTTTCGTAAGAAAAATAATTGTGACACTTCTGTCACAACAAAATTATTACGGCTTAGCGGAAATATCCCTACTGGGTAAGCATATGCCAATACATGCTGCAAGCATATTCCGTTAGGGAAAAGTGCACTATCAACGATGCAAGCAGCAATGATAAATGCTTGGAAAATATGGAAGGTATGCTAAATGCTGCATGATATACATAACCATGTGTAAATTACTGTAAATGAATATTTTCGGTATATTTAGTTTATGGTCTTATGTGGCTGAAGTTGTATGCCATGTGTCAAAACCACAAACACTTGCCCATTTATAGTCTTTTAAAATTCACAGAAACTTACCAGCATTTTGCCACTTGGCCACATCCCGAATTTGTGTACTACTTTTAAAAGCCATATCTCACAATTTATGTACATAAGTATTTACGTATGTATGTACATTTATGTGTATTCTTGGAATTGCATACTCAAACCTATTATCTAGCATAATATCAAAATAAGGTTTCATACAGCCTTTAACAAATACAGCTAATTCATTTCCTCCTGTTATCCATTTGAATATATTGACACTGACAAAAAATCACGAATTTTGTCCTTGGAATTTCTTCAAAAATCAGGATATGATCCGAAGGACTTGGCCCATCGAAGACCCCTAGTGCCATCCAGTCTAATGTCTCTTGACAGAGATAAAATGGTGCCGGTCCCACAATGACATCTAATTATCATCAGTGGCAAAAGCTGAAATCCATTATTGTACCTTGATCAAGGGCAGGGATCATTTTGTTCAGTCTTCGCGATCTGGTACTTTCACTAGCAATAGATCTCCTTGGCCATTAATTCAATACGTCCTCAACTCTCCATTCCCATTATATTCCCAAGAATACCTGTATGGAGATTATTTTGTATAGAAGTTGCCGTTCGAAAATAGAAATTATATCCGCTGCTAGGTTAGGTTCAAGTGACTGGAGATACACTCTCCTCCTCTTCCTCGCATCTTCAGCTGCGGCACTGGTCTTCCGCGTTCACTCCCAATCTCGAGACATGTGTGGCAATTAGACAGTGATCTGTAAGGATTTTTGTGAGAATAGATACTGCCGCTGTAAGAAGGCCACGTACTAAAACTGTTTGTCTGTTTGGGGCAAGACCGAAAAAATTTGCCCCAGTTGTTTCTTTCCTAAGCAAATCTGTCCCAATTGTTTATCCCCAGTGCATTTTGTCCTGGCTGTGTTGGTGGGCGTTCTTGATTTCGTTGTCCATCCACTGATGCCGAGTCGAATATCTTGTCAAACAAGCGTCTTCATTGAATTGTTATGCGGTAAACTATTTCCAGATCGCTGAAACGCCCGCTCATTTTTTCTTCGGTACCCATCACCTATCTCGTCACATCTTTTTTCAATGCCGTCTACATTTTTCAGTGTACAGTGAAACCCGCTTAAGTACCTAACCCGCTTAAGTTCCCAACAGTTTGGACACCGTGAATTTTTTAATGTATTCTGAAAAAAATACCCTCTTTTAAGCACCTCCCCGCTTATGTACCCAACCCGCCGAAGTACCTACATTTTTCGTTCCCCATTTACCATTTTACTTATAATTTTCCCCTTTTAAGTGCTTTTTTTAATTCCTTCAAACAGTCGCAGCGCTACACACCTTCGCCAAAAAATTCTAAAAAATCAAGGGTAACTGAAAAACAAGTTTGAAATTTTGATGACATTTTTTTCAGTGTTCTGCAAAATTTTAAGCTTATATTTTAAGTGTCTATAGTATTTGTTAGGGAATAAATTTTTTTAAATTGAAAAATGTTAAAAATTAAAAAATAAACATAAGTGGTAAACAATAAAATTTTTAATTTGGTCCCAAATGATATGCCCTGTTTGTGTGTATTTATAAATATGTATAATCAATGACTTTTTGATTTAATTCTTGTGAAAATGACATAACATCGCTTTATCTGTTTTTTTTTTTTTAAATAAAGTTTTCCTTCTTGTTTAGATAATGCTACGATCTTGGTTTTAAAATACGTATACTTCATTAAATGTTCATGTTTTATGTAACTACATCACTAAGTATGTTCGCTTAAGTACCCGCATCGAGATTTTTCGTGAGGTACTTAAGCGGGTTTTACTGTAATTCTTGTTCGTCGCGAAAATGCTCTTCTTTTCTGCCTATCAAGCCCAAAGGAGCGCCTTTTGGCAAGGTATACATACATATGTACAGTGGCGGCCAAAAGTGGATAAATGATGTTTCATATTTAATATTTAAAATGTTTTTTAAGCAATACCTTTTTTGAAATTTGTTTTAAAATATGGTTCATGCTTTCCCAAAAATTATATAAATTACACTTTCAAGCTTTATACAGAATTTAGAAAAATCCAGAATTTTTATCCAAATTTCGAGTGTTTTAACAAGATTTTTTTTTAATTTTTGGGTATGCAACTAACAGGATTCTAAAATTAGTGCAAGTTTTGAGCGGCTAAAAATCTCAATAATTTTTAATATTTTTTTTTTTTTATTATTGACGGCGTTTTGTACTTTTTCCATGTAAACAAGAATTTTTGTGAAGGAATATGCGCTAGACCTTTTGCGAAAAAAATATATAAAGTGAACGCTAGGTTTCCCAAATTTCGCTTTTTATATGAAAAAACCGAAAAAGCCGTCAGCAAAAAAAATATTAAAAATCAATGCGCTTCTTTAGCCGCTCAAAAATTGGAATATTTTAGTAACATTTTATAGTCCTGTTAACTGCTTACCCAAAAAATTTTAAGAAATGCTGGTTAAAAAGGTAGACATTTCGATAAAAATGTATAAAGTTTGAAAGTGAAATTTATATGGTTTTCGTTAAAGCATGAACCATATTTTTATAAAAAATATCAAAAAAAATGTTAGCTTGAAAAACATTTTAAATATTAAAAACGAGACATCATTCATCCATTTTTGACAGCCACTGTATGTAAGGGAACGTACCCATACTACGTGACCTGTTCAGGGGGGAGAGGGGGATCTTCAGAATACCACGCTTGGTCACAGTGAGGGACGGGGGGCTTAGGTTTTTATCACGTAGTCAATATCCTCTAAGGAAAACTTGCGTTTTTTCGAGATACATTCAAATATGGCGCGCAGTGTTTGACGCTTTTTAAACTCACAGGACTTTTGTTTCTAAAAATTAAGCTAAGCTTTGACGTAAGTTTTATCTTGATAATAATTTTTCAGGCATGCACTCTTGCCGTCACGCAGCAAGCGCCATATTAATAAAGACAAATACATATAAGCCAAATAATTTTTAACTTTTTGTTAGCAAGAAATGAATCAAAACCATATTTATGAATTACTACGTGAAAACTGTGGGGTAGGGGTCTTGAAATATACTACACGAGGTCACCGAGGGGGGAGGGGGAGGTTAAACATTGGAAAAAGTGGGTCACGTAGTATGGGTACGTTCCCTAAGTATTCTGCGCTTCATCTACAGGCTGACATTGGGCAGAGTTAATGCTGGATCCTACGTAGATAAATTATAACTGCCGAAGTGGCATATGTCCCAATGCACAAACAATCTTGAGTGCTTTCAGACCAACCTCTTTACCTCCCTCTCCGTGCTGGAGAATGCAACTGGCGTCATCCATATCAGCATATGCTGATATTTTGCTGCTCTAGCGATTGACAGCATATATAACGCTTTGAAGAAATCACAAAAAAGTGAGACGCTAAATCTTGCGCTCAACGTCACTCTACATAGCCGTATTAATTTTGTGGCGATTCCAAATTTAGACAAGGTGTCATAGAGGCAGCTTCTTTTCGGCTATCGGAACCGGCTTTTAAAACCGAGGAAAAGGTGGCGTATGTCGTTATCTTTGCTAAGGGGTTTTTCAGGACCAGAGGAAGTATTAAAATGTTGTCAATGGTAATTAGCATAAACAGCAGGATCTTACTTCTTGGGGTTCGGGCAGAGTTCACTAAGGTTCCAACCCTTGGGCAAGTATTCATCAAACCAAATTCAATTAAACAGATATAAATACGTGCGTTCAGCTAGCACTTCGCCACCGGCATTGAACAGATCCACCTTTTGTCCAGCTTTGTTATTTTTAAACCGCATTTTTGCTATTATTACCCCGCATTGGTCGGGGGATGGCCGTGGTTGTCGTCCCTATACATTATTCTGCATTCTTCTTCGTCAAGGGGCACCAGTATCGCATTTCGAAAGTGTTCTCTCCATATTTCATATTTACTCAGGACATCTGTTATCGGATTATTTGTCTCTGTAGGGAATATTTCCAATCACGAAATCATTTCATTAAATTCCCGTTTAAATTTTCAAGCCAGCTTCCAACATCTCAAGCTATTCACACTAAAGTATTTTTTCCTTATTTTATCCCTCCTTTTCTCCCGGAATCGCTCAATATTCGATGGCGTATTTCTCTGCAGCAGCGACACGGTACTCTTTGTCATACCAGTTTCTGCCAGCCACGTCTTCCGCAGTGGTGCAAGGAGATTTGGATAAGGAATCCCACTGCTCATTTGCATCCGAACGGTGAAGAGTTAATTATTGAGGCAGCTGCCTGTTGCGATTGCAGCTTTTCGTTGTCGAACTTTCCTCTTGGTGCTTGACTCACGGCCTTTATTGCACGGAGGTGTATGGGAGCCTTGTCAATCAGTCTGACTCCGTTGTTAAGATCTTGCTCAATAGCTTGTTATCTAGCTTTAAGAGTGTAGCAAGATAAGTAATTGATGGCTTTCGCGCTGGCTGTCGAATCATATTACAATTTTTTCGTCCTAGCAAACCTCTACAACTTTTCTTGATTTTACGATTTTTGTGGGCGTACTTGTAGGATTTTTCTGACAGCCATTTTCTGTTCTCATATGTCACAGAAAGTCTTTTCCAAGTTATTTTTAAAGCTTTTCGCAACCAGCTTACTTATCAAGTTGTTCTTTGGCAAATCATGTCCGCGCATAGCACATAGATTCGTTAGTGGAAACCATTGCTAATCATTCATACAGTTTTTTGTACATAAATGCAGTCTAAGTCAGCATTTTCATGTAAAATAACATCGATTTGGGTGGATCCAAATCACTCAAATTTTGTTCGCATCATATTTTAGACTTGCCAATAATAACATGATTCCAGAGGCCAACAGGCCATGGCAAGAGGGCCGAATATTGCAGAAGTTGCAGAGATGAGGTCGAGGAAGAAATGTAGAGATTTTCTTCTGCAGTTGCCCAGCTTTGGCCAAGAGCAGAGCAGGCTTTTTAGTTCTCTTACGGAATTATTAAGTATAGTCTATAAGAATTTCAAAATGTTTCTATGAAAAATAGTCACTGAAATTCCCATGTTTCGCAGTGGTGTCACATTGGATCTTCAAGGCCATGTTTTTTACTTATTTACTTTTTTGTTTTTTTTTTAACATGGAAAATTTTCGTTTTATACCAAATTTTTTGTGAGGTACTGTATATACAAAGGGTTGTTTTTGGGTGGAAAAAACAGACTTATGATCTGTATGTATGGGAGTTTTAATTTGTTTCCTCCTATATACCTGTATACCTACCAGAGCTAATAACTATTATCTCATATTTCTTTTAATTTTTAATGATCTACCTATTTTCATTCAAAATTATATCTTAATTTTTAAATATTTGGTTTTGATTCGAGTTTTTTTTGTTTCTTTTCGTTTCATTTCTAAACATTTCGGTTACTCTTCGCTTCTTCAACCTCGCACTCCCGCACCAAATTTTAACCACTGGCTCACTCGCTTTTTTGGCTCGCATTCGTTCGCAAAGCTGGTGTAATGAGTGTTGTAC